GAGAACATTTATCAAGTACAAATAACATCATAAGGACGTTCTGAAAGCATTGTTCTAATTACGTTTCCTCTAGAACGTATATAAAATATTGATAATGTTAGACCGTTCCAAACATCATTTTAAGAATGGTTTGTCCTAACATTTACATTACCTTTAAATAATGTAATGGGAACGTTCCCTGTTAGCTGGGATTGTGTTTGTTAGATGTACAGCAATTATATTTACTGTTATGTTTGAAACATTAAATATTCGAAAATGTAGTTGTGCAAAGCCACACAAACGATCTTGTCAGAGTGTTTTGATAGCATTTGCATCATTTGCATGTTGATGAAAACAAAATTTCTGAGATTAAATCTCACTGAAGCAGAACTTTTGCATGCTGACATTTTAATCATAATTGTGGACGGGCAGTTGGTTGAATAAATAATAAAATGGAATTATACAAAGACTGTCACTGCCGTATGTGCAAAGAGAAAGACTGCACTGATTTCATGTTTCCAATATAAACCTGTGGATTCTTGATATGTGAGCCAATGATTTGCTGTCGGATTAAAACAAAGCAAATGTTATTTTCTGCAGCATGCATACAAGTGAATGTTGTTCAAGTTTATATTTAGCAAAACAGTGCCACCCGGAGTGTGTGATGGGAATTACACCTCCTGTTGCTGCATCAATAGATGGCGCTATTGCACGAAGTATCAGGTCAGTTACTGCAGGACAGCTTGAGCTCTGGAGGTGGACTGAAATGATCTCATCAGCAGTCTCTACCACAGAGACCTCTACATGTGTTTTGTGAAAGACAGGAAAATTGGTTATCTCGGTTTAATTCAAGCACCCAGTATAGCTAATCGGCAGAGTTCGCTGTGTAATCAGGAGATAAGAGCCATAAGAGAAAAAATACCATCCTCAAGCATTTGAAATTGTTCATTTAAGAAGTGCACTGTGAGCTCTGCAGATTTTTAGCATGATTTACTCATTCTAATGGGCCTTTAGGGAACTAATTGGATCTTGAAGCTCTATAAGGCCTAAATCAAGCCCACCGCTTCAGATAACCGGAGATGCGGTTAGCAGTTTTTCATCTGCTGAGAAATGGAGTTTAAAGAAAGAGAGAGAGTGTGTTAGAAAATCTCCTTTCACACACAGATTCATGTTCTTCATACATTCATATTCTTTCTCTGTCTTTGTCGTTTCACACAAAGCATCGGTCATGAGTGTGTGACTGCCTGTGGATGTGATGCATATATTGGTTTGGCTGTAATTCAAGGCAGGGGATTTAATGTGTGGAAGCGGCGTGCGAGTCATCAGGTCACACAATAATTCAGCAGCTGTTTCCTCTCGCAGATGTAAATAGGTTCCCAAACATTAGCCTGTGGCAATCTCTCCTCGACTGCTTACATCTCTGTATACATATGTTACAGTTGTCATATTAATAATGGCTTTATACAGAGCAGCATTACATACTCTTTTGAGAGAGTAGGACCCAATGTGTTGTCTTTACGTCTTTACTTTATTTCCAATGTGTCTGTTCATTATTAAAACAATTATAATTCTCAGAATGTACAAGCTGGTCTTTTAATGAACATGCACTACAGAAAATGACTTTCTTACTTATTTTTGTCTTGTTTGCCAGTACAAATATCTAAAAACATTACATTTACTGGAGATCCAAAATGACTTTAGATATTATGTCTTGTTTTCTGAAAATGTATGCTTTAAAAAGGCTTTCCCTTTCATTTATTTTTCTTACCACATTGGTGATTTTTTTTTTTCTTGTTTTATAATGAACTAACTTAATATTGATACTTTTTTTTTTTTTTTTAAAAAAGACTTTTCTTTTTGTTCCTAAATCAAGCCCACCGCTTCAGATAACCGGAGATGCGGTTAGCAGTTTTTCATCTGCTGAGAAATGGAGTTTAAAGAAAGAGAGAGAGTGTGTTAGAAAATCTCCTTTCACACACAGATTCATGTTCTTCATACATTCATATTCTTTCTCTGTCTTTGTCGTTTCACACAAAGCATCGGTCATGTGTGTGACTGCCTGTGGATGTGATGCATATATTGGTTTGGCTGTAATTCAAGGCAGGGGATTTAATGTGTGGAAGCGGCGTGCGAGTCATCAGGTCACACAATAATTCAGCAGCTGTTTCCTCTCGCAGATGTAAATAGGTTCCCAAACATTAGCCTGTGGCAATCTCTCCTCGACTGCTTACATCTCTGTATACATATGTTACAGTTGTCATATTAATAATGGCTTTATACAGAGCAGCATTACATACTCTTTTGAGAGAGTAGGACCCAATGTGTTGTCTTTACGTCTTTACTTTATTTCCAATGTGTCTGTTCATTATTAAAACAATTATAATTCTCAGAATGTACAAGCTGGTCTTTTAATGAACATGCACTACAGAAAATGACTTTCTTACTTATTTTTGTCTTGTTTGCCAGTACAAATATCTAAAAACATTACATTTACTGGAGATCCAAAATGACTTTAGATATTATGTCTTGTTTTCTGAAAATGTATGCTTTAAAAAGGCTTTCCCTTTCATTTATTTTTCTTACCACATTGGTGATTTTTTTTTTTCTTGTTTTATAATGAACTAAACTTAATATTGATACTTTTTTTTTTTTTTTTAAACAAGACTTCTCTTTTTGTATTTCACAGAAATCCATGTGGGTTTAGAACCTGAGTGTGAGAAAATAATGACAGATTTTCTTTTGAGTTAACGATTCCTTTTAGGCATCAAATCACACTAATGAGGTGACAATTTAAGTTGTTACATGTTTCCATTTTTGTCTGTCCTGTCATGAAGGCTTCATGCAGACAATGTCTTATACGATGCCTGTTCATGTTCACTATTAGCTGTCAGATGTGGTCTGTTGTGAGTTTATTTTTCATCTTTCCTAAACTTCGTTTAACATTAGCGCTGACAAGAACATGAGAACATGAAGCAAAACATCTGCAGTCAGTCTCTACACACTAGCTTTTTAACCAGTTTAGATCAAGCAAATATTAAAAAAAATGGTCATTGTTTTTTCAAACAATTCATTTCTTTTAATGTCAGACAGGCACATGATCACATAATTCAACTTTTTTTTTTTTCATGTAGCTTTTTGCCTTTGTCTCCAGGATACATTAACTATTTCTTATGAGCACTTGTGTTGAATGAGACAGACACCTTCTTTATAGTGTGAATGTTTGGTTTGCCCAACCTTGCCTCTTTTATGAATCGTTCCAGACATCACTGTAACAATGCAGCAAACTAGATCCAGACGGGTGTTTTATACCTCAGTATCGTTCATGTACAAGGTGAAGTGTCAAATGGCCTGTTTGAGAATCACATAAACCTAATAGGTTGAGATAAATTCTGTTTACCCACACATGCCTTTAAACAGCGCCCTTTACCTCCCCTTTAATTAGGTGCTGAAAAATAACGAGATGTTAATGAATCGTTCCTAGTATCCTATGCCTAACAGATAGCCTTTAATTATTCCGCACTCTTCCATCTTCCTTTCCTCCAGCAAAACAGCCAGCTGTCATGTAAGACACTGAAGAGTTACAGCTGTCATCAGGAGTTTGATAAAGCTGTAACCCACCACTCTCACAACACTTTTTCTACCATTTGACCCTGTGCTGGGAAATATATTAACACTGCTGTATCTGCACAGGGGAATCCAGCAAGTGCTGATGCTTTGGAAATGTAGGCCTGATAAGAGGCAGCGCATACTTGACATGAGCAGGCCACAAACTTGCAGCTGGCTTAAATATGCTCCATATTATTCAGTGGGGATGTGATGCTGAGGTAAAGTGTGCGTAGCTTTATCTTTTTACATGTAGAAAACACTGTAATGCTGCTTTGACACAGTCAGTGTTATATAAAGCGCTATAACGGTGACTTGACTTGACTATATGTCGAGATGTGTTAAACAGCAACATTTATGAAACGTGACAAAAAATGTAAACATAACCTACAAAAATAATACATTCTTTTTGGCCAACATATATTGTTAATAATGAACCGTATAAAATAACAACATTGCATTGTGATAGAAATGTAAGAACCTGACACTAATGAAATGTCACCATTGTCCTGAAAATGTAAGATGTGTGTCTCCCGTGTTTGCACATCTGATTGAAATCATCAGCTCATTAGCAGAGAGATGCATGACCTGAATTGGTCTGTCAGATAAGGGCTATGTAAGTAAATCCAATTAAGTTTTCTTAATTAAGACACATGTTTAAATACAAGCATGTATACAGTTGGGCTTTCATGACAAGTTAACACCTTTGCACCTTCTAATTACGTTAATATATATAAAAATATTGCTATATTAAATGAACTAAAATGTTAAATTGTAAAATGCATCATGGTAATGATTTTTACTGTATGTAATTAAAATAAAGATTAAAAATTGTAAAGAGATAACTGAATCAATATTGTGAATAATGAGAATTACTAAATAAAAAATATCAAAATACACAAGGCAGTTATTTATTTTCTCAAACATACTTAAAGGTTAGTAAGATTTATTTATTTTTTTAAAGAAATTAATACATTTATTCAGCAAGGACACATTCAATTGATCAAAAGTGACAGTAAAGAGTAAAGACATTATAAATGTCACAAAAGATTTATATTAAAAAAAAAATGCTTTTCTTTTGAACTTGGTGTTCAGTACATAATCCTGAAAAAATGTATCACAGTTTCTGCAAAAATATGAAGCAGCACAACTGTTTTCAATACATAAGTTAAGTAAAGTTTTTAATTACTAGTTATATCGTTTTTTAGAAGCTACACAACAGCCACTTGATCATCTACATCAGGGCTGCCCAAACTCGGTCCTGGAGGGCCGGTGTCCTGCAGAGTTTAGCTCCAACTTGCCTCAACACACCTGCCGGGAAGTTTCTAGTATGCCTAGTTGATTAGCTGGTTCAGGTGTTTCTAATTGGGGTTGGATCTAAACTCTGCAGGACATCGGCCCTCCAGGACCGAGTTTGGGCAGCCCTGATGATCTACATTCTTTAACAGGGCACTCATCACGCGCACACTGCTCCGCTCGTTGAGTGTTTACGGTAGCTCGCGCCTCTCGTCCTGAGTGAAACTAGTAGTTAATCGCTCATTTCGTGAGTGTAGGTTGACAGCTCTCTCCTTGTTGCTGAGTCGTCCCGGTACTTCACGTCAAGATTATGGGCTTTGATCTAGACCGTTTTGAAGGTCCTGTGGACCCGGACTTAATCTGTAAACTGTGTGGGAAGGTTTTAGAAGATCCTCTCAGCACTCCGTGCGGACATGTCTTCTGCGCCGCGTGCGCGCTCCAGTGGCTCGCCAAAGTCGGCAGCTGCCCTGTCCAGTGCCAGAAGATCTCCACCAAAGAGCTGAACCACGTCCTGCCCCTAAAAAACCTCATTCTCAAGCTGGACATCAAATGCGACCACCGTGAACGAGGCTGCAACCGGGTGATGAAGCTCCAGCATCTGCCAGAGCACGCGGAGGCGTGCGAATTCTTTCCGGTCAGATGCGAGAATGAAGGATGCGACGCGGTGCTCAACTTGAGGGATGTGGCCTCACATATGCGGGAGAGATGCGAGCACAGGGCGGTGGAGGACTGTAAGGATGGATGTGGGCTCGCGCTGACCCTCAAGGAGAGGTCGGAGGACCACAGCTGTCTCCAAGCTCTTAGGACACACAGCGGTCTCCTCCAAACCAAAGTGCTGAGTCTGGAGAAGGAGCTGAAGCGCCAGTCGCTGAGCTTCAGTAAGAGGGAGAGATCCCTCCTCTCCAAACTCTCCGCGCTCCACTGCGAGCTGCACATCACAGCGCTCACATTTCAGAAGAAAATCACCGAGTACAAGAACAGGATTGACGCGCTGTCAAGCAGCTGGATGCCTCTCGATAAGGTCAGTAGGCTATATCACGTTGTGAATTGAGTGAACAATGTAACAGAAATCATCCCTCTAAAACTGGAAGCTTAAGTCTAAGTTTGTAAGTCAAATCAAAGTGACAACCTCCAGCGAAGTTAATTACCTTTAACTTTGAATTTAATTACTGATCAAGTTGAAACTGGGAACTCGAGTAGACCTGAAATTATTGTGACAAGTTAAATCCATGGAAACAAAGGTATTGTCAAAAAATTTTACTCAAAAGTGCAGATTAATACTACTGACAAGGCCTACTATGAAAGTTTTGTGGAAAACAACGATAAAGGGTGGATAAGATGGACTTCATTTAACATTGAAATAGTGGGGCATGTTGGGACAATGTGTACAAGCTGACACTTTTTTTTGAGCAGTAACTTTTGAAATATGGAATATTGCATAAAATATGCAATATTATAGGCTAATTAATATCCCTCATGCCATTCTTGAAAACAAATGGAAACATAGAGAAATTGTTAAACCATTGGCATGGAAATTACAATTAATTTTATTATACTGTATAAAGTTCTTATTGTATTGTTGACATTTGCTTCAAGTGGTTTTGTGTTCTCTTGGGGGGGGGCTTAATCTACAACACTTATATGATACGATTGGAAAAAGATCTCGATTTTTACTAAAACTTGTACACTTTAGTCGAAGTTAAAAGTCAATTCTGCCACATGTACAGCACATACAGAAAATTGAAATTGCATTATTCTCAGACCCTTTGGTGGATATAATACTAAACGCTAACGGTAGAATATAAAAATACAAGTAAATACGGATTAATATATAATATACAACTATATAAAAATAAGGACATTCAAAAAAGGATAGATGAAGTAGCACATGATATATATATATATATATATATATATACATACACACTTTAAGACAAAAATGCAAAAATTATACGTACACTGCTTGTCACTGAGGCAGTGCCAGAGGGACATCTTTGTACTGTTCACACCTAAAAGGTTCATAGCAGTGCCTAAAAGGGATGGTCGACCCAAAAATGAAAATTCTGTCATCATTGTTCCAAACCACTATGACTGACTTTTCTTCTGTGAAACTTGAGAGAAGATATTTTAAAGAATGTTGGTAACCAAGCAGTTTCCATTCCCATTGACTTCCATTATATTTTTTGACTATACAATGGAAGTCAACAGGAACTGAAACTGTTTGTTTACCAACATTCTTCAAAATATCATCTTTTGTTTGCCGCAGAAGAAAGTCATACAGGTTTGGAACAACATGAGGGTGAACTATTGCTTACTACTACTCTAAATATACGAATATGCAACTTTTAGAGGTAGATAAGGTACACCAACTGTCTTTTTAATGGTACTGTCCCAGTGACAAGCAAACATTTTGCACAATTTTTCTAGCAGTGTATAGTTGATACAGTACCTACTCTTGTGACAACTTCTTTGTTACAACTAGCCCCAGTCTCTCATCATAATGAAATGGTTGTTGGAATCCACTTGTTGTTGTTGTTTAAATCTGCACCTATGTGAAGAAGCGTTTATATGAAGTACTTTTATATAATACGATTTTACTGGAGATTGATCCACACTGAGATTTCTCTCAAGACTCTCTCTTAACTGAAAACACTTCACTGCCACCAAGCCAACATTGTCAGTTCATTTTCATGTCAGTTTAAAGCATTCACACTTGAATGATCTAGATTTGAACAAGTGAAACAAAACTTGAACGTCTTCACTCTGTATTCAAATGCTTTCACGTAATTACACTGCCTCCCATGATCATATTCAAGCAATCTGATAGTGAGTGAATGGTCTGTGAAACCAACAAAATTAAGACTTAAGTCTAATTGATTTGACAGGAGGCATGTCTTGTGGACTTCAAGGATATAATATGTAAACAAAAGAGTCCCTTTCTGTTCTCTCCGCGCTGTGGTTGAGTTCGACACTAATCAAGAGCTCATGATGCTCGTTTCTCTCAGTGTGACAGATTTCCGCCTGCAGCTGCCATTTCAGCGGGGATGCCACTGCTAGGACTGTTTGACAGACAGCTCACTTAAGTTCAGATATTTTAAGGCTATCTTAAATCTGTCATTCTTGATAAGTCACAGGCCCTGCCTTGATTTTCTCTCGGCCACATCTGCCTTATGACAGCTGATCAAACCCAGCTGCTGAGAGATTTTGACATCTGTCATAAAGTAGTATTACAAATATGGATTTAACTTTACTCGCCTTTCCCTTGTACATAACAAATATGATTAAATATTACTATTAAATTGAGTTTAGCAATACCTAGGGTCTAAAGTAAATCTTTTTCCACACCTGCTGCTGATGGCGAGTGAATTTACAGGCCGAAAATTCACTTACCAGCCATAAATATTTATATTTTTTCCCTAATCTAAAGGAAGGCAGTGTGATTTAATTTCTCTGTAATTTCTTCTACACACTTCACTGTGTCCTGAGTGTGGTGAACACCTGGCCACATATTCATAAATAATTTTTTTTAGACATTTATAGTACCTTGACTGTGATTTTGCCAGGTGTCTCTGAGGGTGTGATTTGTCTCAACTGCTTGATATGTGAAAATCCCCTGAATCTCATGTGGCTTTGCCGTTTCATTAGGTAGCTAATGGAGAGAGCCCTGCTTCTTAGGGGAGAGATGGTTAGTAGGGTCAGTGAAGCTGTTGAAACCTGCTGTAGCAGTCTGTTGCAGCATCTGAAATATGTAATTTCTCCTTTCTGTATATCTCTTTCTGTCCTATCTCTCTAACACAGGGTGAAGAAACAAGGAGCCTCAAAGTGACCCTCCAAAGAACATCAGGATCTCTTGGATTCAGTATCATTGGAGGAAGATTGTGTGGGGTATGTAAGCTTACTGTGCAAAGTTCTACCATGTAAGATGCATTTAGATCAAGCACCAAAAAGGACACAAAAGCACCTTAAAAGTATCCAAAAAAAGTAGTCCATATCACTTACATACACTATATTTCAAGTCTTCTGAAGCCATTTAATAGCTTTGTGTGAGAAAAAGCTTGAAATTTAGGTTGTTATTAACTGATAATCTTTGAAAAACATGCTTTTGAGCCATGTTCACCATTTACTTGCATGATATGGAAATAATCAGCTTGGGCACTCTATAGTTAGTGCTATAATTAACTAATTTTGAATTATAATGGCAAAAGAAAGTTCTGAAATGTACATTATGTAATTGAATTCAGGTCGACGGGACACTGCCATTGAATTGCCATTGAAATGACTGTGGAAAAGTATCACAATCAACCTGAATTCACCCTGTTTATATATACTGTATATAAATGACAGAAATAAAAACATAATGCTATGGGTGACATTTTAAAACGTGGGTTAGTTCGTCTTTTAGCCACAGAAGGCTTTTGTGCAGTCTTTCCTAACTCAACCAACCCTTTCATTGTAAGAAAGAAAAACAAAATCAGCAACTGAGCCACATGTAAAAAGATAATTGCAGATTGCACAGTTTGAGCTCCACACATTTCCCTCGAGTACATTGTGTGAAATGCGAGCGTGGGAGCCATTAAATTCTCACATAGATTGTGTCCAAGTGGAGAGGAGAGAGCAAGCTGTGGGTTTGGCTTTCACTCACATCGCATTCTCTTCTCTAATCTAGTGGAGAATCACCACAGGCTGTTTACCACCTGTTCAGTCTTAATGGACAGCCGTTAACCTTTTTGCCATGCAAGTTTATGCACGCTGTACATACATTTATGCATAGAGCGCGTGCCCTTGAGTCAGGCTCATGTTCCATTCAGAATTAAGTTGAGAGTGCCTTTTATCTTTCAGTTTAATTCCTAGAATGGAGCCAAACAACATGAATGGGGCTTACACAATAATAGAAAAGTATCTGTTCTTCTTTTGTTGAATTAATTGAATCTTCTGTTGTGTGACTGACTGTTTTAAATTTCGTTGAATTACAATTCAGCAAATTCCACTTCTTGACATTCCTTATTTTATTTTATGATTTTATTTCATTTTATTTATTTTTTATTACATTTTAATATATAATGAAGGATTTTATTTTATTTTATTATAATATTTTATTTATTATTTCAAAGGTTTATGTTCGAAGCCCATCCATTTTGGCTAATATATTTTGTATTTAATATATTGTATTTCTGCTGTCATTATGTAATAATGACTAAGCTGCTTGTTTTCAAACTTTTTGTTGTAACTGTATGTTTACAGTTACAGTTATGCATTTAGCATTATTCATTTAGTATGTTCTTCAATAACAACAATAGTTATGGATCTTTTGTTATTAGTTATTGATTTAATAGTTATTGATAGTTTATGGTACTTTAAACATTTAGATATGAATTTGATGATTTTAATATATCAATAATACGTTTTATTAAAACTTTTAAATGTTTATTTGTTTGTTTTTAAATACTTTTTAGTAATTCTAGAGCCACCTTGTGACTCTGCCGAGGCCCCCTGGTTGAGAAACTCAGTCATAAATGGAAGAATATCTAGCAATTTATTGATTTCTTTATGCAAACTGAATTTAAACTAATTTCAGCTAAACTTTATTTGAATTAACTAGTCTAATTTTCAACATTTGCTTCTATCTAAGGAACCAGAGCAGCATTGGGATTTCAGTGATGGCATCTATGTATCCAAGATAGTGGAAAACGGAGCAGCTGACAAGGCTGGACTGCATGTTCATGACAGGATCATTGAGGTTTGTCAGTTGATTTTATGAATGCAGAATTTGCTTTTAAATGGCAGGTAGCGTAAGTCCTTTGCAAAGTTTGGAAAGTTTTTTCTTAGACCGGATGAAGGCCAAAATGCTGGATGCACTCAAACTCCACACTGTGGAAGAAAAAGGTCACCAAGACAGCCACTAGACAGATGAAAGCCAAAGGAGATGGACATCATACCGCTAGTCTGAGCTGCTCAACTGGTGCCAGTGTTTTCACAGTCTGTCTGTTAGATTTGTCAGATCTAGTCAGACTAACAATGTTGGCGCCATTGTAGGTTGATTTCACACTGGGCAGACTTCTTTAAAATGGGTGTTAGTCTGTTCATCCAGCAGTACGGTTTCAGATTTTCAACCGGAACAAAGTGTTTCATATATAAAAGAGAATGTTTTCTATTAGGGCACATAACAATGACAACACAACATCAAGATAGATCTACAAAATGTGACATCTGTGCCCATCCAGAATGCTGTTAAAACATCGGCTTTGTCATTGAATGTCTAAGAAAAAACCCATGTTTTCATTGCCTTTTTCATTTCATTGGCCTCTTATATGAGCAGAGCAGAGTAATGATGATTTCTTTCTTGACTCGCTTTGTCTCATGTGGGCTCTTTGCCATTTGTCTGACATGAACATAATAATGGCAGCAGTGCCTTTAGAAATCTGTGCATCGTACTCTATTTGTTCCCCAAAGAATGCATGATACAACTGTTGGTTTCAAAGAGAAAGTCAGCCATGTAGCTCTTGTGGTGGTCTCAGGGTTCACTTTCATAAACAGAGAAAGTACAACTTGTTCAGAGATGACGTTTTAAACGTGTATGCTGTTATTTTTTTTTTTGTGTGTGAAGCACTAAAAGAGAAATGATAAATTATAATAAAAGTAATTAATATGAATTCTGTGGTGTATTGCAGGTTTTCTGAAGCCATGAGATTGGATTTTTAATGAATAATGACTTGATTTTCGTTCTTTTACTCCTACAAAGTTGTTGTGGTACATTGAATACTTGGAATAGAGCTCACAAAGTCAAATAGACAACATTTCTTTTCGTTCTTTTCTTGTGTTTTTTGTTTGTTTAGGTTAGGTTAGGTGTGTGGTATAGCAGTAAAATCTGCTTGCCTTGTCACATTGCACTGACATTTCGATGTGTTTGTGGACCGATTACCTAAAGGCTTTCCTACATATGTTAAAAGACATACCCAGGTGATTCACATACAGTAATCATGTTTGTGACATCTTGTAAATCTGGAAAAACAAACTATTGGAATGTTTTTCTGCTGAGTTAATATGCACGGGCAGGACAGCTGCAAGCACATTATTTTCCTCCTTCAGGTTGTGGGGTTAAGAAAGCATTCCTCCGCTTATACTTTCATTAAGCGCACCGGTGTGTGGCGAAAACAATTGCTGTGAGCCAATTCAGAGGTTAAGACCACCAGCCTGGGAGGTCAGTGTCAGCAGGATAGCGATGATATTTTAGCCTGCAAAGTTGATAAAATGTGCTTTGAACTTACATCTCGCATTAGGGGGTCTGTTGCATCTTACAGGAAATCTAGGGTAGAAGACAGCGATCCGGGTCGGAGCGGGTTTGGAAGAAATAAGAAATATGTTTAGAGGGAAATTCTTTCTAGAACTTGATTTTGATTTTCCTGAAGAAAATAGTCATTCTCAGGCTCTCTGTAGCTTAGGCCTTGTCTTTGAACCTGACAGACCACAAAATAACTCCCCTCAAGAAAAGAGATTCAGAAGAAAATCACTCCTGTGTTCTCAGAAAACTCCGACTATGATCTATCAGTGAAAAGCCTGTGGGACCAAAAGGCCACTGAGACTAGGATGTGTCCTTGTCTAATTGTCTAATGTTCGTTTATGACCTGGGTGCTTTATGTAAAGGTCTACCTCAATTTCACTCTATTCATTTGAGAAACAGTGTTGAGACAGACGACTTTGATCTCGGTGTGCTGTTTATGCGGGTTAAACCCTGTCTCGACTTCAAATCTCCAACTGCTGCTTAGAATAATCACAACATGTGGTGAATTAGATTAAAGATACAGAGAAAAACATCAGAAAGGATCATGGAAAGATTAGAGAAATGAGGAAACGGCTCTGACAATGGTCACTGAGCCGAAAGCAAGCTCAGTGAATGAAGGTAATGCAAACTCTGCTGAGCCTTAGGACGGAAAACTGTGCTGTTGTACAGCTTGTAAGTTACATAATGCAGTTGCTGTTCTTATTTCATATGAGTGGTCTTGCCACATTGTTCTTTTTTTTTTTTTTTTTTTAAACTGTTTTTTTTTTTTTTTTTTTTTTTTTAGACTGCTTTTTGTTCTTTTTTTGTTTTTGTTCAGACGTTTGGGGTTGGTAAGATTTTTTAAATGTTTTTGAAATAAGTCTCTTAAGCTTATCAAATCTGCATTTATTTGATCAACTATACAGTAATATTGTCAAATATTATTGCAATTTATATTAACTGTTTTCTATTTTAATATATATTTTATAATGTAATTTATTCCTGTGATGCAAAGCTGATTTTCAGCATCATTACTCAAGTCTTCAGTGTCACGTGATCCTTCAGAAATCACTCTAATATGCTGATTTGCTGCTTAAGAAACATTTCTTATTATCAATGTTAAAAATTGCTTAATTTTTGTGGAAGCCGTGACATTTTTTTTCAGGATTTTTAGAAGAATTGAATGTTCAAAAGAACAGCATTTAAAGTTTGTCAATTAACTGAGACTTGTTATAGCACTTGCATAGCATTGCTCTCTTGTTGGTTTTGATTGCTTCCATTGTCCTCATTTGTAAGTCGCTTTGGATAAAAGCGTCTGCTAAATGACTAAATGTAAAATTCATCAATATGTTTGCTCATATCATGGGTTTTTATCTGATGGTTATGATTTTAGGTTGTAGTTGAAGAATACTGTACTTTCATATGTTAATTCTTTTGGCTTCATCTGATGTTTTATGGCAGAAAATTTCAAAGCCATATATATATATATATATATATATATATATATACATACACACACACACACACACACACACACACACACACACACACACACATACCATATTTAAGCCGTTTCTAGTCAGGTCATGATGACTGTGAAATGTTCTTCTCATATTCACATGCAATGCATTTACAATAATTATAGTTAAGTGTGTTTGAAACTAATGAGATTAAATTGAAGAATGTGTTTCAGCAACAGAGTTTCTTGAAAACTGATGTACAACTCCACTCAGCTGCAGCAAACGATTCATTAGACCCTGAAAAAAGGAACAAAAAGCTATTCATTCAGTTCAAACACATGGTTTGGAGTTATATGATTAGAAACATCACAGGGATGTTAAATGTGGATGCCCTGATGGGCCGTATAAGGACATGTGGTAGCTTTGACCTATTTCACCCTCTATTCTGTCAAATGTTGACGGCAGCACATTTAACACCAGCATTTACACTGGAAACAACCTCAAGAAGTCTGAGACTTTGGGGTCTGAATTGCATGATTTGACTATATCTTATGACATACAATTGTATGATTTTAGCATGCTGGTATCTGCATAGTAAGCATCTGACTTGAAAGTAGAGTTATTTTTGAGCTGTGAAGTAATGGCAGCAGGCATTTTTACTGGGTCTAAGTGCAGATCTCCCCCACACTAGGGCTGCACGATTAATCGCATGCGATATTTAACGCGCTATATATATATATGGCTTTGAAATTTTCTGCCATAAAACATCAGATGAAGCCAAAAGAATTAACATATGAAAGTACAGTATTCTTCAACTACAACCTAAAATCATAACCATCAGATAAAAACCCATATATATGTATATATATATATATATATATATGTATATATGTATTGGCTATTACCTACGTCATAAAACAATAAGATGGAATGAAGATCAGAATTGACATTAGATTATTAATTTGATATAGTAATCTCAAAACATCCATAAACAAAACCAGGGAAATGAGTTTCCCATCAGTCAGGCAGATCTATAAACATTCCTCTGGTAATTTATCATCAAATGATTCATGTGTTGTTCATGCTGTCTTGTGTCAGAGATTAGCTGATGTAAATATTATGTGTCATTGACCCGTGTACACACAAAGGTTTATGAGAGGCAACACGTTTAATGCCAGAGTGTATCATATCAGGGTGTTTTAAGTCTTTCTTGGCCATTTTGTGCTCATCTGGGATCCCCAATTACAAAAACATTAAATATGCTATAATTACTATGTAAGTTAATTTATTTTGCTCTGATTGTCTAAAGCAATTGAAATTGCTTCCTCCTTTCACAGACTCAACAAAATGACTTTTGAACTAAAATTAAACATTTGCACATGCACACAAATATGCTGGTTATGAAATCATGGATATGAAGATAAAAGTCTATGTTGGAAGTGATTTAAACACAATCAGTAATAACCAAATTTAACTGAAATTAATTAAACTGAAGTTAACTTTGTATATTTCCTTCAGAAAGTTACCATGGTAATCATTATTTCATTGTTTGTGACCTATACTTACAAAAACATTGCCCTAAATTATTGTTCTGTACAATAACAGATTTCACTCCTGTAACATACAGGAGTGAAATTAGGATGATTCACACAGCTTTAACCATATAGCCACACAACTTTATACCTAGATACTAGGGCTGTGCGATATGGACAAAAAAAACCTATCGGGATTTCTTGATCAATTTTGCGATTTCGATTTTAATCACGATTGTGACACACACAGACATGCTTTACAGTCATAAATGCATTCAGTGTGAATTTGAAACATATTTCCAAAAGAAACCCAATTAGAGCTTTATCAAAAAGCTGTAACATGTCTCTAGAACAGACATAAGGCAAATAATCACTAAGTAAAGGTGTAACAAAATGTCTCTAGAATACACATATGGCAGGGGGAAAAAATCCCGTGTCCAGGGATTTTTTTTTTGCCATGCATTGGTCATAGAGCTCTTTGTGGCGTTGCCTCAGATGTTGAACTAGATTTGTTGCGCCAAGTTCACACGTACTCCGTCTGCAGCGCGTATACAGTATGTGTACGCGGTGCAGAAGCAGCACAGACTCATTTTGCTTTCGCACAGGACGCGTTTGCAGTCCGCTCCTGATCCGCGGCTGTTTACCACAAACACAACATTTATCCATTATTTTGATTTCAAATCCAAACGTTGTTTCTGAAAATGCTTTTTCAGCATTGTGATTCTCTTTTATCACAGTACAGTAATACAATCTTTCATAGACATATTCACGTTTAAATTCGATAAATATAACTTTAAGTACCACAACGAGTGCCATCTATTATTGCCTTGTTTATCTAAAAGTGCACTTTTCCTTGTTTTAAATCTAGCCAAGAAGCCATGTGTTGACTGTGAAACAGTAGACTTTAATTATATGCATTTATGGTGTAATTACTACATTTCCGTGTCAATCCATGTTAATTTTTACCGCGAATAATGCTAGACGCCGTGCGGAAACGATCGCAGCATGACTGCTGCAGACGCACCGCTCCCGGAGCGCACTGCCGGACCGCAATCGCATGCATTGTGAACGCTCTGATCCGTTAACATGGGCGCGGACAAAATACGCACCACAGACGGAGTGTGTGAACCCGGCGTTACGTTTGTATGCCTGCCCGGTCTGTTCTGTTCTCGTGCTCCATTTAGGCGCGCTGCATTCTGATTTGTTCGGATAGCATACTGTGGGAGGTCGGGGGCGCGGAAAATCGTGCTGTAAAGCGATTTAGAAATCGCGCATGCTCAAATCGCGATTTTATGACGATTCAATTAATCGCACAGCCCTACTAGATACTAAAAAAACTTGGTGGTATGAT